GGAAAGGAAAGGAAAGGAAAGGAAAGGAAAGGAAAGGAAAGGAAAGGGAGAAAAAAAGAAAAGAAAAATAAAGGAAAGGAAAGCTTCAGTGGTTTCTCACTGCCTGCATTTAAAAATCCAAACTCCTTAGTTTGACATTCAAAGCCTTCCACAACCTGGCTTTAGCCTTTCCACATAACATTCCTCTTCATTCCAGATAGACTAGACTACTCAGAATGCCCTCAGATGTCTAGTGCTTTCTCCACCACCACCACTGCACCTGTCTTGGATCTTCCTAATTCTCAGGTTTGAAATGTTTTCCTTCTTTATCTCTGCCAGTTGAAATCCTATCCATCCATAAGAAGCAGCTCAAATATTCCTTCTTTTATGAAGCCTTTCCTGGTCCCCCCCCCCACCAATCTATGCCATCTTTCTCTCCTGTATTTATTTCACATTTATTCCATAAGTGTTTATTAGCATTTACTATATGCTAGGCACATAGCAAACTCACAGAACATTGTTCAGACCCATTCTTTGTATTATTGTTGTTGTACTTATATCTCACTTCTATTATATAGATATCTCACTTCTTCTACTACATCATAAGCTCCTTGAAGGCAGGAGTTTAAGGACCTTGCTACTGAGACAAAGGAAAGGAAGTTGGGAATGGCCATCAGGTCACTAATCAATGTTAAAAGATTAGAAAGGTCTTAACAAGGAGATAGTATAAGTACCCACAAATAATCCAAAAAGCAAGACTCAGAATCTTTAAGGCAGAGATATGTTCCAGTGATTTGCTTAGAAAACATAACGTTTATAGTTCTACCATGTGACTACTACCTGTTTCTAAGTGAAGACTGGTCACCTCCTAGATGTTGTTTGTCCTCCGTTCTGGAAGAGGACTATGATATCAGGAATTCACTTGCAAGTGAATTGGATTTAAGTGAGGGAGGGCTGTGCAAAGTCACCAGCCTCATTTTCTCCTCCACAGCTATCTGGGTCCTGTGGCAAGATATAGATCAGGGTGACTAGAGATGACCCTGAACCTCCTAGCATAAAGGGAAACAAAGAATGCCTCTACTTAGTTAAAAGGATAAAATAACAATGAAGTGTTTCTGACAGACTTTGGGAAAGCAGATTTTCAAGTGTTCAAAGACAGGTTAAATAGGATCCCATGAATTAAAGCTCTATTGGATAAGACAGCTCAGGAAGGAGGTAAAACTCTCAAGAATGATGTTCTAAAGATACAAAGGGGACATTATTCCAATGAAGAGGAAAAACTGAAATTATCCGAAGAGACAGATATGGATGCACAGGAGACACCAAGTTACATTTTTTAAGGATTTGTACAAGCGGAAGCAAAGGCAGGTAATAGAGGATGAATATAAGACCATGGCCTCACCTTATAAAAATAGAGCTGAGGCTAATGAGGGAAACTGAGGACAATACAAAGTTTTGGAGTATTTTTAACAGTGTTTTGATTTGTTTTTTGTCATATTGGGGAAAAGAGAAAGATCAAAGAAGGGATAGGACCATTGCTTGGGGTGGGTGGGATTATGACAATTGACAACAGAGAGAAGGCAGAACTAGTCACTTACTATTTTGCTTTTTTTCTCTGCACTTGAAATGACATAATAAAAATGACTAAAAGAGAGGGAAGCCCAGTATATGTAAGGGGATATAGGAAAGCAACTAGTTGCCCTACATGAATTTAGGTCATTTGGCCAAGATGAACTATATTCCCAAGGATTGAAAGAGCTGATAGATATGTTTGCCATTGTCAGTGGTATTGGAAAGATGTGAAGAATGGGAGAGGTACCAAAGACCTGGAGAAGAGAAAATACGGTCTCAATTTCAAAAAAGGGAAAAAGAACATGGTGAACTATAATCCCATGAACCTAACTTTGCTTGATTCCTAAGAAAATTCTAGAATAAATCACTAAAGAGACTGATAATTGAAATCTTGAAAAGGAAGTCATGATTACCAATGGCCAACATCATAAAACACTGGTTGTGTCAGAAAAACCTTATTCCTTTTTTTTTTTGACAGGCTTGTTGGACAAGTACAGACCTGTGACCCTTGAGCTAAAAATGATTCTTATATTTTAAAATAAAGTTTTATTGTATTTAAAGATGTAAAAACAAAAACAAAACCAAAACATTCTTAGCTCACTAGCCATGAAAAAATAGACAAAGGGTTGGATTTGGTCCATGGGCTACGGTTTGTCAACCTTTTGACTAGTAGTTCAGTGGGATTCTGTAGAAAGAGCTTACTAGAATTTAGCAAAATATTTAATAAAGTATCCCATACTATTCTTTCGTGGAAGATAAAAAGATGTAGACTAGAATATAATACAATTAGATGGTTTGGAATTAGTTTAATGGTTAGACTCAAAGATTCATGGTTCAAGTCAACTTGGCAAAAAGTCTCCAGAGGAATGCCCTGGTAATCTATACTTGGCTCTATTTAACATTTTTTTCAGTGATTAGATAAAGGTAGAGATGGCATCTTGATCAAATTTGGTAATGACAAAAAGTTGGAAGAGAAAGCTAACACAATGGATAAAAGAGTACATAAAAGTCTTGATAGGCAAGAACAGCAATCCAATTATAACAAGGTGAAACTCAAGAGAGATAAATATAAAATCTTGCAGTTGGTACCAAAAAACAATCACTTTCACAAATATAGAACAGAAGAGGCAACATCAGTTAACAGTTTGAAATAACAGTTCTGAGAGTTTTAGGATAAACTCAGAGTCAGTCAGTAATATGAATGTTATCTTGGGCTGTATTCAGAAAAGAATAGCTGCTAGGAATAGGGAAATCCTATACTTTATATATAAACGTTAGTGCTATACTTTAGTCAGGGTAGCTAGGTGGCACAGTGAAAAAAGCACTGGTCTTGGAATCAGGAAGACTCATCTTCCTGAATACAAATCTGACCTCAAACTCTTATTAGCTGTGTGACCCTGAGTAAGTCATTTAATCCTGTTTGCCTCAGTTCCTCATTTGTCAAATGAGCTGGAGAAAGAAATGGCAAACCACTCCAATATCTTTGCCAAGAAAACCCCAAATAAGATCACGAAGAGTGGGACCCAACTGAAAAATAATTGAACTAAATATTCTAAGTCAGACCTCACCCCAAGTATGGTGCTCAGTTCTGGGTACCTCTATGAGGGGCCAAGATGAAAAGCATCCAGAGAAAGACAGCCAGCTAGGATGGCAAAAGGTCATGAGTCTATATTGTATAAGGATCAGTTGAAGGAACTGGGTATGTTTACTCTAGAGTAGACTCAGATGAAATATAATAGGTGTTTTCAAGTATTTGAAGGGTTATCTATCATGCTTAGACTCAGAAGCTAGAAACAAGAAAAATGGGTGGGAGTTACAAAGAAGCAGATTTAGACCTGATGTCAAGAAAAACTTTCCTTAGAATTTGAATTCTCCAAAAGTGTAATGGGTTGCCTTGGGAGAGAATGGACTTTCCTTGAAGGTCTTCAAGCATAAAACAGTCGATGACCACCTCTCAGGTATATTATAATGGAGATTCTTTTCAAGTTTGGGTTGGAATCAATGGCTACTGAAGACCTTTCCAACTCCAGAATTTTGTGAGTCTGTGCACAAATAGAAAGAAGATATCAGGGATGTTGTGGAAGGAGAATTGATAGGACTTAGAATCTGATTGGACATGAAAGATGAGGAAAAGGAAAGAGTCCAGGATAACACTCTGGTTAATAACCTGATTGACTAGGAATGGCACCCTTAACAGTATAATCTGTGGGTGTACCCCTTTTCAGATTATGAAATGGTTTTGAATATCAGAGAATTTTATATTTGATCTAGGAAGTGATAGAGAAGTGATAGTAATAGGGAGTCTTTTGTATTTTTAATTTGTATTTTTAATTAATTAATTAATTTTATTTTTAATTTATGGGATAAAACAAGCATTTTCATAACATAGCACAACAAAAAAAAAGATGATTACACACAAAACTACAAATCTATTATGTACAACTTTATAACATATATTTTATGTAATATATTAATATATAATAATATAAATATATTAAATATGATATATTTAATTTAGATATAATCTATATAATTATATATTTTAATATATTATATATACTATTTATATATAATACATAATATTAAATATATTTAAATATATAATAAAGTTATGTAAATTTATTTCCCCCCCACACCCTAGAGATGGCTACTATTAAACTCAAATGTGTGTGTGTGTGTGTGTATGTGTATTTAATCATTCTATACATACTTATTTATTAGTTCTTTCTCTGGATGCAGATAACATCTTCCTTCATATGTCCTTTGTAGCTAATTTGGGTATTTATAATCATCAAAATGACTTATTCACTCAAATGGAGTTGAGTTGAGTTGTTCTTAAAACAATATTGCTATTACTGTATACAGTGTTTTCTTGGTTCTGCTCATTTCACTCTTCATTATTTCATGTCTATCCATGTTTTTCTAAGATCATCGAGCTCATCATTTCTTAGAGCACAGTAGTCTTCCATCATTATCATATGGAGTTTGTTGAACAGGCAAATGTGGAGGGGGAAAG